CTGTTTCACCAGCTGCGCCGCCATTGCATTGAATTTCTTGCGCTATCCAATTGTTTGTGGTGCTGAAATAGTAAGTGCACAGCAGTCGACTGAATAATAAAATGAGCGCAATTTTAGTCGTGACGATTACGCATCACACATATAAAGCACGTTACTATGTTGCTTAAGTGTACTGCATGTCGTCATGCATTCTTACGAGTTCTCTTTTTTTGTTAATCGTTTATTCCTCAAAATTCTTTTCTTGATAAAAACAAAGGTGTTTAAAAATCCGTTAAATCTCCGCTTGATATGTGTCAAAACAGCTTGGATTTTTCCACTTTTCCCAATAGCACGTATCGTATCAGTTGTGATATTTGAATTAAAATCCTGGTGGTTTTTGGGGACACGAGAGTATTTGTAAAATAGCCTAGATAAGTTCGTATAAATGTCTTCATTCTAAATAAGTTTTGATTGATTGTGTTACCATTTATTAGAACTAAATCACTGTTAACACATACCTCCTGTAGAATTACATGCAGTTCTCAAAGTCTGAAGAATGATTACGAAATAGTCAAAACACACATAAAAACGTGGACCCATGCTAGTAATATTCAGACAAATCTAATGACTCAAGTCATTACGCAGCGAAATCATCGATCGACCGCGCCAAAAATCGTGATTAACTGGTCCTGCAGATAACTGCGACACATTAACATGAATGATATTTTTCAAAGTCCCTTTTTCTAAATTGGTCCTAAAGTATTTAATAATAAACTAAGAAGACTAACTACAGGAAACGACAAATTTAATCCGATCCCAATAACATTACTTAACGTCCAATAAATTTATTAGAAGACTACAGAAAAAATTGAAATTTAACCCAATGTATCTCAATGCACATAATTAACACAGTACTTAACAGTCAAAACATTTTTCAGAATCTTCGAATATGTGAACTCGTCAGTCAGCAAGAAGATGTCTCCGGCTTTCTAGGGTTTACCCATTTGGTTGTTTAGCGATATACTGTTTTTTCCCCTTATTGGTTAAGGATTGTCCATGTGTAAAATTAGCATAAAAGACGCAACTGGCGAAGGAACCACTTGGGGGCAAGCTGGTAGTGCGTCACAAGCCTCGCAAAAAAACACGGGAAAACAGAAGCAAAGGGTGGACTGAGGTGCGAGTCAATCCTTACCAATGGCAACAAAAGCGCTGCCGAGCTGAGATGCGAACATACCGGCCGGTATTACAGGTGGCAGACGGCATGCATCTTGGAGGAAGAAAGCCGTCTTATCCGAAGGTCTATAAAATAGTAAGAACTGCTCAATAAGTTGATATGGAGGATAAGGAAGAGAAGCCATAACTTGAAGTGCACAAAGCCACGTCAAAATCATTGTAAAAAAACGATGAAGTAGCGGAGGACACCAAGAATGAGACGCTCTGAAGTCCAGACGGAGAAAAGCGCAGCGGTTATGAAGAACTGCGGTACAAACGTATAAAAGGAAAGATCACCGCCGTCTTCAGTCTCGCACAAAGAGTAAGTTAACTGAAGAAAAAAGAGACGTAAATGTTTACAAAGTGCGCCTAGTTTTACCATAGAAGTGAAGTGATTTTTTTTTTCTGTCACCGTGAAGAAGAAAGTTTGCTTGAAGTACAAGGAGCGATGGCTTCGGAAGAACCCGCCGGGTTGGCGAAATCTGCGGCCGTGAAACTGTCAGAGATGAGCGAAAGAACTAAACAGCTGGGCACGGCTATGCAAGACCCCAATCGACAAAGAAGGATTATTTTAGTAATTGTTTGCGTGGCTCTTTTGTTAGATAATATGCTATATATGGTTATTGTGCCGATTATACCAGACTACCTTGCTGATCTGCAGAATGAAAAGTCAAAGCACGTCCATGCACCTGTGCGTCCCAATTCTTCAATCAACGCTACAACCTACGTCTCCAAAGACAACTTAGACATACAAATAGGAGTTCTTTTTGCATCAAAAGCTATCCTGCAGTTATTAGTTAACCCTTTGTCGGGAACCTTCATTGACAGAATTGGATACGACATCCCACTTTTGATCGGACTCACTGTCATGTTCTTCTCCACCTGCATATTTGCCTTTGCCGAAAACTACGCCACCCTGTTCGCGGCGCGTAGCCTTCAGGGTCTCGGATCAGCCTTCGCAGATACGTCGGGAATAGCCATGATCGCGGACAAATACACGGAGGAGGCTGAGCGGAGCAAAGCCCTCGGCATCGCGCTGGCCTTCATCTCCTTCGGCAGCCTGGTGGCGCCTCCTTTCGGCGGCGTCCTGTACGAATTTGCGGGTAAACGCGTGCCGTTTATTGTGCTTGCGTGCGTCTGCTTAGCCGACGGGATTCTGCTCTTAACTGTAATAAAACCCTTTTCTAATAGGACTAGAGAGAACATGCCGGTGGGCACCCCTATTTACAGACTCATGATTGATCCCTATATAGCCGTTGTTGCCGGAGCCTTGACAGTGTGTAATATCCCTCTGGCCTTTTTGGAACCCACCATAGCCAACTGGATGGAGAGCACCATGAATGCCACACAGTGGGAGATGGGACTGACGTGGTTGCCAGCATTCTTCCCCCATGTCCTTGGTGTATACATTACTGTAAAACTGGCTGCCCAGTATCCTAATTTGCAGTGGTTCTACGGCGCCGTCGGTATGGTTATAATCGGCGCGAGTTCCTGCACCGTACCGGCTTGCAAAAACTTCGGAGAGTTAATCGCCCCGCTGTGCGGTATCTGCTTCGGCATCGCTTTGGTGGACACCGCTCTCCTGCCCACGCTGGCCTTTCTGGTTGATGTGCGGCACGTCTCAGTCTATGGCAGCGTCTACGCCATCGCGGATATCTCCTACTCCGTCGCGTACGCCATGGGTCCCATCGTCGCTGGCCAGATCGTCCATTACCTGGGTTTTGTCCAGCTTAACTTGGGCATGGGCCTCGTCAATGTGCTGTACGCGCCCGCTCTGCTCCTCCTCAGAAACGTGTGCCAGATGAAGCCCTCATATTCAGAGAGAAATGTTCTTCTTGAAGAAGGGCCACAGGGACTGTATGATACCATAAAGATGGAAGAGCGCAAATGCAAGAGAAAGGGCTATAGCACTTCTGGCAATTACATGGCTGGAAATGAAAATGGCATTGACGATTTTATGGGACAGGCACAGTCATATTCTGAGGAAGAATTATCAGGTCCTGAATACAGTTAAAAGTAACTCTCTAAATGATTCAGCATATGTTCTCTTAGGTGACTGGAATCGACTATACCTAAAATACAAAATAGGCACACGTGCCATGTAACGTACTGATGTGCAATATACCTTACCACCTAATCATGATTGTGTAACCAGTTCTTTCAGTTTTGGAAATTATTTTAAGCAGTTTGATTTTTATTGATTTTATTGTATCTGAACAAATTTAGAGTCAAATGTTTAATCGTATATATGTATATAAGTATTGTGAACGGTTATCGGTTATTGAAAACTGTATCAATAACTATTGTATAGACATGTAAAAAGGTAAATACGTAAATGTATTAAAAAAAAAAACTATATTTGCATAATCAGGGAATCCCGCCTAAATAAATAACTGAGGCTGTTTACGGTGACTGTTTTCGTATACAGGGATTAGATGTATTTTTCTTTACATTATATGCTATGTAACAATATACCTTATTTGCTGGTATTGTCAACATGCAATGTGTCATTAAAAAGCCTTGCATTAATACGGAGGTCTGGAATCTTTTATATGTTTTTTTTATTTTAAATGTATGACGTGTATTTTTTAGAAAGTTTCAACTGTACTTATGTGTATGCTTGTAGAAATGTTTATAAAGGTACGGCTGTTCGTAGGCTATTTAAAGGTATAATGTGAAAACTATAAATAACCATACAAGCAAAATTACAATGGGCTGTCCTAACTAAATTCCAAATAAAAAAAGTAATTTTATTCAGACCAACGTAGGAATCTCAGTGTTTCATTTAGATACGTTTAATTAAATATTCGATGAATATGCTAGGACCAAATTTGCTTGTAGATTACCCTATAAGTTAAATTTACTAACGAAATTACTTTCAATTTTTTAATTATTAATTTTAGCGGTGCATTCTCGAAAACATTAAAATTGTACTCCAATATTTTGTGGGGACCTGACGCTCAACTGAACGATAAATGGAAATTTGAACAAAACGTTATATATGTAGATATATCCTATATACATCGCACTTTAAGATCAAATCTCACCACACAATATATTTAGCGTTTCCGATTATGAGCCGTAAGGTGAAGATGACATAAAACTGCTAAAATCGCATGAATACTCAGCAAAGACGATTAATCTAAAAAACGTTCAGTGTGATGGAACTTCCTTATTAACACACTGGATCGGATCTAGTGGGAAAAAAAAGTCCCGTTGGTTTTCTTGGATCACAAAAGAACCGTACGTCATGGTAAGTCTTAATCACTATAACAAGCTTGTGCAACGTTATGCAAAATTTGTGCAGCTTTTCCATCTGTTACTCGTATTTACATGTTTGACATAAATCAGTTAAAAAATTCAACTAACAGGTACCCTAATCATTTTCGACAGTCAACATCACAAGTAAACGGCGAATTCACTGGCCCGTACATGTATATATATATATACCGAACAGGCTATGCCGCCAAGGATTAGTTATTCGATGCTTACTTCAGTACAGTATAGTGCGTTACAGTGAATTAATTCAACCATAAATGCTAGTGTATCAGGGTTTACATTTTACTTATATTAACTGGTTCGTTAAGAATCGTATTTCCAAATTAGGCAATTTCCAAAACATTTGGATAAAAGAACTTTCCACTGTTTTTTTCTTTTTTCTTCTTTTTTTTTTGCTTTTGATAACAATAAATACAGCCGTCTAACTAGCTGTAATATTAATAGCTTCAGGACAAGTTTTTATAGTTTTAGTCTGACGTGAGCAGTAAGAGAAAGCGGTGTGAAACTGCGCTCCGCGAATGAGTCGTGGTGGGAGGAGTCTCTTGCATGCAGGGTTAGGTAGGGAGAAGCACCTACACGCATATCTGTTGAGCTCACTGTAAGGCCTCCTAGTCACCAATGAGTCTGATACGAGGATGCCAATGAGAAGAAATCTCGTCCAAGTCGCCTGAAGCTGCAGCCACGGAATCTTGCTTGTAGGCATGGGTATTACCGACCATGCAATCTAGCGCAATATCTGGACTTTCTGAAGAGTAGACCAAACATCTGTTGCTCAGGTAAGCTGGCATTTCTAGGATTACATTCCAGATATATCTAATATGAAGTTGTACTATTGCCACTGCGTTAAAATGGCATACATGCATATATGTGCACTTGCACTTGAGCGCCATGAGAAAATTCTTGTATAGACGAAGCGCAAATCATTGCATGTGAATTCGTGTTCACGAAAATCGTTGGTGCTTTTCGATCGCAAGACTTCTTTAAATGTACTAAGCGTGATATTTAGGAAAAAAAACACTGTTTTTATGATTTATGTCACTGTCATCAGTTTAACAATGAAACTAACTTTCTGTTTAATCAGAAGAAGTTGTTTGACTAGGGGGATTTGTCACTTTGAACATGAGTGGTGTCTTTAATATTTATTTAGGCTGTTTGTTTGTTTGTTTGTTTGTTTGTTTGTTTGTTTGTTTGTTTTCTTTCTCCGTGGGACAGCCATTCGGAGCACTATCATCAGCTTACAGGCTCCGGAGGTTCCTCTTCTTGGCTGTACATTTCAGGATCCAGCATGCCCATTCTAGAACAAGAGTCACCCAAAGGTCACGGGGACCACCATGTAAATACAGCCTTATATTCTAATCAGATTGATTTCAGACTGTTTTCCTTTTTTAATTATTCACTGAATGTTCTCCATTTAAAAAGGCAGAGTTAATACGTTTAAGATATAGAACAGGTTTAAATGCATGTTTAAAGTTTCACAATACTTTCTTCTTGAAGATGGTTTTCCCATATCAGGTCACTAAAAGGTTTGGTAAACGGCAGGTATTTTTAGATGCGGCTGCTGACACATTCTGCCGGCTAAGTGGTGCCATTTATTAGAAAAATGCCTTTACAACACCAACAGAAATTGGAAATGCTACAGTATAAAGATGCATGAAGAAACACCTTCTGAATTTCAACATGTGACAATTTAATGAGCATGTTCATTAAAAAAGTAGTAAATCATATCAGTAATGTAGTACGGAAACCTACAATTATTATTATTTCCTTTTTTTATTTATTTTTTGGTTCATATTATAGCCTGGTGCTTTACAATGGTAATTGGCTTCATTATTACTTTGAAATGTTTCAAAAGTTGAGTTTAATTTTAAACATTTTGTCCAAATTCTGAAAATATCTATAGTCAAATCCAAAATGGCGTCCAAAACGTGCAGCCAGTCAATAAGGTATATGCAGGCACTTGTTTTGCAGTCATAGAATATCGTCTAATTTTTAAATTAGGTTTAATGAAGATGATAAACTGTGCTTTGTTTACTCAAATGGGGAAAATATTGTGATGCCAAGAGATTTTGTAATATTCAGGAATTTATTTGACCTTAGCTGTTATGTGATGCCATTCATACAGTTTTTGTTATTTTTATATGAAAACTAGTTATTGGACCATTTCATTTTTCATGTCACTATAAACAGAGGTAAGAGAACAACCACATTCATGAAATCTATGCTCTAAGTTAACATGTAGTCTCATTCTATTATCTTTCTCATAATTCTATGCGGGGGAAATGACTACTGAAAGTGCATTGTAGTATAAACTGACAAGCTATTTGTCCAATCATCTTCCAACTGCTATTCTTAGTCAGGGTCACAAGGAGCCTGGAACCTATTCCAGACTATAGGGGTGGGGTATACCCTGGTATACCCTGCTGGTCTCTCACATGGGGCATTATTTCAAATTATAGACACCAATTAGCCAGTTGGAGAAAACCTAGCTGAATTGGGGAGAGCGTGCACATCCAGAGTGGGGGCAGGATTTGATCCTCTGGCCCTGGCGTTGTGAGGCTGCAATGCCATCTTCACTCACATACACACAATAACACAAACTGAATCCTAGCCATGCACTTGGTAATGCAATATTACTCAGTTTGCTCCAGTTGCCTTTAATGTGACAGCTAAGAGTCACCCAATACTGCAAATTCAACCCAATTTTTTTCTAATTGATTTAATTGGAAACTCCAAATCTGCTATGGAATTGCAAATCATTGAATTACTTTGAATTGTGGGTGACGTGGTCAATTTACACATTTCTTTGACATTTTAATCCAAGGCAATTTACAGTGGAGGGAAGGATTACAATTTACACATGCAGCCGGGGACTTAAACCAATGACCTTTGTAACATTAGCACAATGCTCTGCGTGTTGAACTACAGGAGCTCATGCACGTACTGAAGCCAAACATGGGCTGTTTGACAGCTGTGTTAATGACATCACATTATTGGTGTCCATCTGATTTCAAAGATTAGAAATGATGTATTGCTGCTATTATGATGAATTCACATTAAATTACTGAAACTATGAAAAAAATCACGATATAAATTATGGTTTTGTATTACAAAGAATGTTCATGGAATATCCGCAAAACAAATGCAAATTGAATATTAGTGTGTATGGTGAGTGAATCCCTTGACTCAATTATAAATTATTTGCATTAATTTGCATTTTTTTCCATGTGCAAGGGAAGTATTTTTTCCTGATTAGCATTGAAATTCATTCTTCATTCGTCTTCAAGCAACTTTTATAAATAATTCACCGCTGCCCCAAAAATTCAGGTATGAAAAAAATCTTTAGCAGTTGAGGCGGGAGAGTGAATTCAGGGATAAATTAATATAGTGCAGCTTTTCCCAATCCAGTCCGCGGGGAACCACAGAGAGTCCATGTTTTTGCTCCCTCCCAGCTGGGCAGGGCGCTCGGAGGAAGCAAAAACACGGACTGACTGTTGGTCCCCGAGGACCGGATTGGAAAACACTGATATATTGGATGGTTCTTATGCACAGGCTTCTGTACAGCACTGAGAATTGCCTAATCTGTATTTCATTGTGACTGCCAAAGTGTTTCAGCGTAATTATCATTTGTTTGGCCAGGTCTTGCCTAAGCTACCCATCCCAACTTTGCACCAGACTCTGGACATGTACCTAAAGTGTGTGGAGCACCTGGTCAAACCAGAGCAATTCAAGAAGACCAAAGCCATTGTGGAGAGGTTTGGAGCAGCAGGAGGGCAAGGAGAGTTCCTTCAGGAAAAGCTAATGGAGAAAAGAGAGAAAACGGACAACTGGGTAAACACTGCATTTCCGGAAGCATAAAAGCAACTAATCTAATTAGGACTGAGACATTTCTGGTCTATGAAATGAAACCAGCTCTTTGAAATCTTTATTTCTACCAGTGCTGGTATGGGCTAATTGACTATTTCAACAAAAGCCCATATCTATTCAGAAATGAGGCTCAACTGGAGACCAGGACGCACATATCCACTCAATCGGTTAATGAACATTAAGTAGCGTGTTTACAATTCGTCGATAAATTATCTTGAGTGTGATTGAGAGTGCAGCTCCCCAGGGATGACACAATGCTTGTAAACCATTACAAAAGAGGGGGCAAGTTAAGTGGAGGGTTAGAGCAAGAACAGAACCATCCCATTTTTTATCATTTCTGGGAGCCAGAATCCATCAGCAGGGTAAGTGTAACCAATCGGCGTAAGATTAATCAGCTGCTGTAAGCTCTATCAAACGCCGTTGTCTCAAAAGCAGTTCTGACTCCCCTTTTCACTCACAAAGACATGTCGATCTCGCAGTGTTGATGGATTTCTGTTATTCAATCGCCCACAAGGCCACATCTCAAATGGGCAGTTTCCACCCATCTTTATTACAAGCATAGTCATAAGCTCAAATCCAATTTGGCTGAGCGCAGCTGAAGGCCTCAGAACAGAGCACAACAGGCAGCAAATGCCCCATGTGGAATATTTAGTGGCGTAAGGGTCAGATATAGAGGAAATGCTTGAACCCTTTTCTATATATGTTTCAGGTGTACAGCTACTGGCTGGATGACATGTATCTGAGCAACCGACTGGCTCTACCTATCAATTCCAGCCCTGCCATGGTTTTCCCAAAACAAGTTTTCAAAGATCGTAGTGACTCACTCAGGTAAAAAAAAAAAAAAAATGAAAGTAACTAAGTGAATCAGTTATACCTTTAGATATTTCGTGTCTAATATTAAGGTTAACATAAAGGCTAACATATACCGGATGGCATATTTGTTTTCATACACTACTGTTTTGGTTAAAAAACTCTTTTCACTATTTGTGTGGCTGCCTCATCTCAAGTACCTCAGTTGTGCAGTCTTAGTCAATTAATAATTTATTTTTCTCACTAGGTTTCTTACGACTGATTTGTAAGAAATGAAGTCTACGTACCCCTTTTAATCTCACTGCTATTAGCATTATAATTGGTTTAAGAAATATGACTTTATTATTTCTTTTTCACTGTCGGGGCACTTGAAAAGCCTCATATTTTTTCTTAGTTTTTTTTGGTAATATGTCAGTATACAGAGGTGGAAAGTTCAGGTTCAGAAATCCAGACCAAGATTTTGTTCAGCTGAGTATAAAGAGTCACAGTCACAGAATACTCAACTGGTTGGTTGAAACAAAATCCTGGTCTGGATTTTTACTTTCCGAACCTGAACTTTCCATCTCTGCCAGTACAAGTCTGGAATGTGATGATGCCGTGCATGATTTCCAATATGAACATGTCCTCATATCCCTACTCCACACATCTGCCAAAATTACATCCCAATTTATGACATGCTCTGCTCCTAATCGTTATGCCACGATCATTGTTTGCAAGAGCAGAGAGGGTTTACCCCGCCAAAGTCATCTGTGCTGCAAATCATTGTTATTATTCAACATGTCGTGGACTAATACACTGTCACTAGCTAGACCGTAATAAAAAATAATGCTTTACTATCTTTTGTGTTTTTATGGAGTATTAACTGAACACTTCCGGAGCAGAGACAGCAATGCTAAATATACTGACAGACACTGTTATAAGATTAAGAGGCACAGCACTGAGCACCCTTATGAGTCGGGAAACTCGTTTAATGTCCTCTGATTGGTGTGGTCAAGCCTTTATTTATATTGATCTGGCTTTGTGTACTACAACCAGATGAATTAGATAAGACATGAGGTCTGTTTTTTTTCTGTAACTGAACACACTCTGCCTCTGTGTCACACACAGCAAACCCCGCTACGCTCCTGTAATCTAGCCCATCAAATTAAATTACGCAGGCAATTTTGAGAGGCTGAAGGGTGAATGAGAGTGTAGGCTGCAGCTCACTGTGGCAAGTCCAAATAGGCAGGGGCTCACGCGACATCAGGGCTGTTTATTTGACTGCACGGTAAATAACGGTGGCATAAACAGAGTATTTAGGCAGCCCAATTTTCATGTCATGGGCCTTGATACAATGACGTTTATGACTGCAGTCAGGGGTACAGCACCATACGAAAAAAAACATCTATAAAAATAGACCAGATAGCGCCGTTCCTTGCAGGTGATGTCATAGAACTCTGGCAGCTTAAGAATTATCCCTGCACCTCTGTCCATAATGGAAGCTTTATTGATATCTGAACAATGTTTTCCAGGACTGTGGATGGGTATTGGGTGCTTTAAGGTTATTAAGGTTATTGGAGGAAGGGTGGTGGGTTGGTTAATTTGTAATTCTCTGCAATGGACACAATCATAGAACATATAATAGAGTGGTGTGGGGGTAAGTTGTTTAGAATGCAATACCTGTGATCAGATAGTTGTAGGTTCAAATCCTGTGGTTGGTGGAGTGACAGTCCAGGTATGGTGTAACCCTGCTTTCTCAAAAAGAGGTATGTTACCTTGGATCCAAGGCTCTGCTATGTAGATAAAGTAGTCTTTCAGCAGTCTGGACAGGCAGAAGTATTAAGGCAGAAAAGCTTAGTACATTTTCTCTAATCTGCATAAAAATCAGCCATTTTGGTAACACGTATTCAGATCCATTGTGTTTTTATCTGTTTCAGATTTGCTGCTCATCTAATATCGGGGGTTTTAAACTACAAGAGTCTACTTGATGGGTAGGTTCCAACACGTGGTACTGTCTGTGCGCATTTCTATAGTGCTGGTCGGTTTGGAATGCACTTTCGGGCATGTCAGTTGATGTGCTTGTGGCTTTTCAGACGGTCCCTGCCTGTGGACTATGCCCGGGGCCAGCTAGCCGGAACTCCGCTCTGCATGGAGCAATACTATCGACTTTTCACAACCTACCGCCTCCCTGGACTGAAGAAGGACACCCTTGTCACTCAGACGAGCAGCGTCATGCCAGAACCAGAGTACATCATAGTGGCTTGTAAAAATCAGGTGAAAAACATTCCTGAAAAGTGATACAGAATTTGGAACCATTATATATCGATTGATATGGGTGGCTGTTCACTGATGGAAAGAGAAATTCAAATTTGTATGAGTTCAAACCATGGCTAAACATCCCAGTGAATGAAAGTAGACAGCCTTCCCATTATTCCATTGGAAACTTACACCTCAGCCTTCCTAAGACACACAACAATGATTGGGTAAAAGAAGAAGCCTTACCTGAATATCCGTGAGCGGGTGATCAATCCCCGTCCTATGGGTCCATCTCTGATCAGATGCTGGGGTGTAAATAAATTACAATTAATTGAACCTGTCAGCTGGTTCAAGAGTCGCTGTGGGACATGAGAACAATTGATTGGTGCAGCCAGATCTATCTGAGCAGGTCACTGATATTTCTAACTTGAGTTGCTAGTCGCTAGCTTTGTTTTTCTTTCATTATGTAACCACAAGTTCAATGCAAACTTTGGCTTTAACTATCTAAACGTAGTAGATTTACACAAGACTATATCGACAGTAGAACAAAACTCCTCTCTGTGATCAGATGTGAAGTGACAGTTCCCATATATAAACTTCTTAGTGCTAACTGCTTTATATGTCATTGTCAAATCCACAGGGTCAGGATTGCCATTGGGGGTAGAGCTAGGGATTGAGTTGCTATAAGGCTTGGAGCTAGGGGTTGGGTCAGGGTTACGGCTGGAGTTAGGGTTGCCATTTGGGTTAGAGTTAGGTTTAGTTTTAAGGCTGCCATACAAGTAGGAGCTAGGATTAGTGTGAGGGTTGCACAGTGTACACTATGAAGTGTTCACTAAAAAGTCCACACTATTACGAGGTATTACAGTAAGAATCAGATTTAGAGACAGGTTGGCATTATGGTTAGGTTTAGGATTTTGGTTATTGTTATCATTTGGTTTTAGCCGGAGTTTGAATTATGCTTATAGCTATGGCTATGGTCATGGATATTTTTGACATTATAGTTTGGTTTGACATGAAGCTCAGGCCCAAATTTAGAGTTAATTTTAATGAGAGATGTAGAATCTTCAGTGATATTATAACTAACACTTTTTACTATTCTGAGTGCATCTAGTTTTCATATCGATCCTTATTTTTGTTCTTTATTGTCTGCCTGCAACAGTTCTTCGTGCTGGATGTGGTGATTAACTTCCGCCGGCTCAATGAGAGTGACCTCCTGGCACAGCTGGAGAAGATCGTAAAGATGGCAGAAAACACAGAAGAGCCGCTCCCACCGATTGGTCTGCTCACATCAGATGGAAGGACAGAGTGGGCCGAAGCCCGAGCCATGCTAATCAAAGGTTCGAGTGTGGCGTAGCACACAAGTGTAACCATGGTAATCAGTTTTATTGGGCAAAGTGTGATGCCACTCTGCACGTCACTAGTGAAGAAAAGGTTCTAGATTTTGGTCAGACGGCTGTCCCCAGGAGCTCCTTAACAAATTTTTCACTTATTGCATCTTGCCCCATCCTCTAAGATTGTTTCCTTTCATCTTTAATGAGTTTGATGCAGCGTTTCCCAATCCGATCCTCAGAAACCCTCAGTCAGTCCATGTTTTCACTCCATCCGAGCTCCCTGTCAGACTGACCACATTTTTGCTCCCTCCGAGCTCATGGACTTTCATGGACTGTATATGGCTCTCCGAAGACCACATTGCGAAGCACTGGTTTAATGAGTTGAGAGTTGCCTTTTCTGCAACTTCCTTTCCAGTTCACTGCTACAGCAAACTGGTGAATAATGATCGTTTACTTTTTCATCCTGTTGCACTTATTGTTCTGAACAGCAGTATCAGCAGGAAGACCAAATTAGGAGTATCAGCAACTGGCCAACTCATGTCCAAGAGATGTCCTGCTTGCAACACACATTTTCCCTCACTTTCCAGCTACTAAGCCAAACCTTAAAAATGTTCAGCAATGTCACCTGCTATTTAGCTGAAATAGATAAAGCAACAAAAACCTTAGTAAGAATAATTCTGGCAGTAATATTTTACTCCCAAGATTCACTTGAAGCATGGCTTTACAAATCAGTATTTTTTCCATTCGTGAAGTTATTCCTGAGGTTGAAGCAGACAGCGTGCATCTTTTTACATGTTATTTTCCTCTTCAGATTCCACCAACAGGGACTCACTAGATATGATTGAGAGGTCCCTATGTCTGTTATGTTTGGACGACACCAGTGGAGCTGAGCTCACGGACACCAACAGAGCCCTGCAGATGCTGCACGGTGCAGGCCACCAGAAGAATGGGGGCAATCGCTGGTATGACAAGCCAATGCAGGTAGGGGAACTAAAAGCCAACATGCAGGGCCGTCGTAGCGTACCAGTCCGCTTGTCAGGTGAATGGAAACCAGTCGCATGAAAATTAAGGTGGAATCTGTGCTTCAGTTTGTTGTAGGGGCAGATGGAGCTTGTGGCGTGATCTGTGAACACTCCCCCTTTGAAGGAATCGTCCTCGTGCAATGCACGGAATACCTGCTGAAATACATGTAAGCAGGAAGGAAAGAGCCATTTGCTCTTTTTATTTTTTATTTTTTTTTGGAATTAAAGATTTTCAGTGATTGGTAATAGGATTTGTACCTTAGAAAGACATTAGACATTAGAAAGAATTAGACAATTTTTGGAACGACAGCTCAGTGTTTGAGGTGTCACACCTCCAGGGGATGGGGGTTCGTCTCCGGCCTCCACTGGGGGGGCAGCATGTATATATGACCTCATGGGGACCAAGTGTCCCCACAATGTGATGAAAACTCGCTATTTTGATCTTGTGGGGACATTTTTTTTTAAATCTGTGACTGCAATCAAAAACTAAAAATGTCTTGTATTTTGTTTGGTTAAGGTTACTTATGGTAAGTAACCTTAACCAGGGCTGGGTAGGAGTTAAGGTCGTCATGTTGGGATTAGAGTTTTCCCCATGCAAATGAATGGTTAGTCCCCACAAAGATATAATTACAAACCTGTATGCATGTGTGTGTATGTGTATGTTTGTGTCTGAGTGTGTTTGTGTATGGAGTTTACATGTTATCCCTGTTATGTGGTTTTCCTTCTGCGGCATAATGATTATGTAGTGTGGTTAAATTGATCAAATAGGTTAAATTTCCAAAACGTATTCAGTTCACAACATACATGGCAGGGTCAGTTTGTAAGTAAGTACCATTCCGATGGACTTTGAAATTCAGTGAAGGTTCTTCATTGGATTACATGAGGACTGACTGAGTTTTGGTTCCCAGTGCTGTAACATATTATAAGGAAGCCTGACATTGGTCATCTCATCTCAACATGAAAATGGATTTTTGGAAATTTGCCCTTCAGTTAGCTGGCGTTCTCTCCATTGTACCCCCCCACTAGTGCCCTGGACCCTCCTTGACCCTGTACAGCACAGCTCCTAGAATAGAAAATTTGAACAGAAAAACAATGCTGAACCTTGAACCCCCTCCCCACAGGAAAGGAAGCCCCTCAAAGCTGGTGAGGGCATCCAGCATCACGAATCTGCACACCCCCCGTAGGCTGCACTGGAAATGCTCCCCGGAGATCCAGGAGCGCCTGGCATCCTCAGCTCACAAGCTCCAAAGGTAAGTGCCCCCCCCCCCGCCGACACTGATTGCAGTTGCACTCTTTGTCCTCACAGCAAGCCCCTTTTCATTTATAACATCTGTCCCCTACTGACATTGCTCCCACCACCTACAAGTGAAAAAAATTGCTTTGCAAATTTTGAACGGACGGAGTCTGACTGAAAATGCACTTGAAGTGCATTCGTAGCACCACCACCATTTCATAGACAGCCCACTGGCTCAATCCCAGTATCTATCACTGTGAGATCCCTAACTGAAACAGTAACAGAATTACACAGTGGCTACCCTTCCGATAAAATCAATTTTGATTTCTTATATAAATCCTCAAACACTTTTCACATTTTCCTTAGACTGGTGAGAAGCCTTGACATGGACGTTTTCAAGTTTAAAGCTTACGGAAAGGAATTCATCAAGAAGCAGAAAATGAGCCCAGATGCATACATACAGGTGGCACTGCAACTGGCATTTTACAGGTAATGCCCACTGCATTTGCGTATTTTTACATACAGGTGGCACTGCAACTGGCATTTTACAGGTAATGCCCACTGCATTTGCGTATTTTTACATACAGATGGCACTGCAACTGGCATTTTACAGGTAATGCCCACTGCATTTGCTTATTTATACATACAGATGGCACTGCAACTGGCATTTTACAGGTAATGCCCACTGCATTTGCTTATTTATACACACAGGGGAACTACACTGACAGCAGTTACTCAGTATTAATATCCAGTCTTGTCATTCGTAATTATGCTTGACAGATAGTCCATATTTTTGATCCATCACAACTCACTGCCGGGCACCCCCTGTTTTTGCTCCATCCCAGGTCCCGGTAGGAGCAAAAACGTGGACTGTCTGTGGGTCCCCAAGGACCGTATTGGCAAACACTGAATTAAGCGATTAATAGCTAGTAATTTGAGATGTGCTTCATATTAAAAAATGAACATGTAAGACAACACAAGGTTTATATTCTATGAATTGTGCTACATTATTTTTCAGATGATAGGAATGCATGTCTTTGACAAAGTACATGTTAATGTGTGCCTCTTTAATTTTAAATGTTGTGTCCGTGTGCCTTCAGATGTGAAGGAAGGACTGTGCCTACTTACGAGAGCGCGTCCATCCGCCGCTTCCGAGAAGGCAGGGTGGACAACATCCGCTCGGCCACAGTGGAGGTCCTGGCCTTTGTGAAATCCATGACGGATGGGAAGGCGGCGGTACCCGTATGCCATTTTTCTTACTTACTCCCAATTACTGTGTATCTCCCCTGATCTCATTCACCATGGTGCTCCAAATCTGGGAAATGAGGAGCAGTGATGTAAGCCCCTCCTCCTGCAGCCCACCCCACCCCCGACACATTGGTATACATATTACCTCCCATTTGTCACATGTGTTTTACTGTTATGGGAGACAGTCCACCTGTGGTGCTTTCATATATTCTCTGTGCCACCTTCATGACAATGTTTTTATGAAAATACTGAGTTGGTCTCCTCTTTCCAGGATGCTGAAAAGATGAAAAAACTCTGGGATGCAATTTCTGCTCAGACTAATTATACCATCTTAGTAAGTATGAGCATTTGCACTGACTGTTGTTTGCATTCTGCATTAGGTAATTAAACTTCATGGTCCTGGTCTTTGCCAGTCGTCAGCTTTACTCTGTCCTCTTAAAGGCAATTACTGGAAAAGCTATAGACAATCACTTGCTCGGCCTGCGGGAGATTGCGGAGGAGTTAAACGTGGAAAAGCCTGAGATTTTCTCAGACGAGACATACGTGTCCAGCAATAAGTTCATTCTTTCCACAAGCCAGGTGAGATTATCTCTCACAGTTTTTGGTCTGACTCTGTTTGATGTTTGGAAGAGGAACCTGCAGGTCTTACTTAATGATTTCCATGATCTAGCCAACTCAACGGAGCATCCCCTTCTCCACAGGTCCCCACCACAGTGGAGATGTTTTGCTGCTACGGCCCAGTGGTGCCCAACGGCTATGGCACCTGCTACAACCCTCAGTCAGATCACATCATCTTCTGCGTGTCCAGCTTTCGGGAGAGCGTGGAGACGTCCTCGGCCGTGTTCATCAAGGCGCTGGAGGAAGGCTTGCTGGACATGAGGGACCTGTGCTGCAAACAGAACACAGCAGCCAAGCCCGTCACCCCGAAAGATGGTGCCACTGCGAGAAATGGAAGTAAGCCATAGTGGGGGGGTGGACACACACCCCTCACCACAACCAATCACATGAACACTACGCTGTAGCTGCCCATGTTGTGTAGTTGTTCTGGTTTAGACACAATTAATCCAGTATCTACATAAATATGGACCAACCACTAAAAGATATAAGGACCATATCAAATCATTCCTAATAAATCAATATCTGTTTCATACCAAATATGTCTATATATGGGATTCATAATGGCTCAGTAAGCAGGACTGTTGCTTCATACCTCTGGAGTTGAGGGTTTGAACCCATGGTGTCCTCCAGGTTTTCAAGTTTCCTTCAACATTCCAAAGATATGCAATTTGGTTAACTGACATCTTATAATTGTCTATAATATCCCATCCAGGGTATACCATTGCTTTGGATAGACTCCTTTGGTCCCGTGACCCTGAAAAATTGAAAGTTCTAAATCATAATCAGGCGACTTTGACATGGTACTTCAAATGACAAGAAAAACTGCTAAGGTTAGACCAGTAAAGTCTAACAAAAACTTGCACTTTCATGTTGCACCTTGACGAGAAACTTACCTTTAATGTAAAGAATTTGAAATTTATTGTCAGTAAGTTGTTTTTTTTTAATATTGTGCTGTTTATTACACTTCAGCAAACGCTGAAGTAATGTCTCATCAAATAGTATTTTATCATAATCAGATTCTGTCATTTTAATAGCTGTTCTGTTACGATGTGTGTTAAATGTGTGTTAAACGTGCTAAAATGTAAAATGTTACTGTTAATGTTTACCTGTGATACTTGTGGCAATAGCGTAATAAAGAAAAGATCACAAAATAAATTACTATAAATATATATTAATACTATATTATATTAATATTACAACATATAACTTAATCATTAACTTACTACTATTTACTGAAGTACAGGAACTGCTTTGTAACAAAATACATATAATTATTAAATGAAATCTATGCAATAAGAGAAAAAATAAAAAGTAGACAGATATTACCTGCTGATATATTAGCTGATATATTTTAGAAGTTTTAGTATTTTGTGAGTCAGTAAACAGAAGTTTATGCCAAAGTACATATATTGTTGCAGTAAAAAGTGGTATTACAATTTGTGTTGAATATCGCAAGTAAAACAAAGTAGAGAAATGTCTGTTTCCATAACACTTCAAGATTAATCAAAGTGAAACGTGTGAACATTCAATATAAGTTACACATGCTCAACATATACGTACACAAATATGCTCATCAAACGTCAAATATTTCAGTATATGCAGATGTTCATTTAAAATAGCGATGGTTTCTGTGGAAATGAACACCACATATGTATGTCATATTTAGTACATTTTATGTATATAAATACATAAAATGCACTTTATGTATATTATATATACCCACATGATTTTTCTCCCATAGTGCCAAATACTTTTTAATAGTATCCTTTTCACGATTTCAATTAACTTGTGAAAAATGACTGCCTGTTAGTCAGGTTTGGACATACAGATGTTTCAGATTCATCATCTATATTGTAGACCATAAACTGTTCCACTCCAGCAAGGGATACAGTATTACTATTCTGAATGATGCAGTCTATTTCTGGATAGATCCAGTCTCCAGCAAGATATTATCCAAATCTGTAATAACAAAAAATAAGTCTTTCTGAATGTTGCAGATAAAAACCTTAAAACTGTGATCTTTAGAGAAAACATAGTATTTTTATTCTTTATTTTTGTACATTACATGTCATATTAAGTTATTAGATGTATTTTAATTGAAATATATGTAATAATACTACATTAGAGTATAATGTGTATAGAGATATAGTATTGTATGAAATGTGAAAATGTATATTGTCATACTGTGCAACATTGAAAACATTGAAAATAAAGATGAAATTTATTGTGATTTATGAAAACTGTATTTACTTTGACAAAGGGTGCTTTCCCTACTTTGTCATGTATGACACCAGAATATCCCATGATGAACCACTGTATGTGGTTTGAACGAAAATCCTGATGTGAATTTGTCAATAGAGCACGATGGCCGGTCCATATAGTGTCAGAGTCATGTATCACTCCAAGTCTCGCACACTTAATCAATAGAGGAGAGTAACGTTATTGATGTAGCAGAGCATGCAAGGTCGCAGCCCTATTTCCTCTGCAACTCCGTCTGCTTCCTTTCCGATCCAGACCATAAAATGGTTGTCAACAATTTGTCGCAAGATGCATTAAATTGTCCAGCATATTTTATCGAGCACAGAAGACAGTAAGGGGGGGGGGGGGGGGGGGGGTTTCCAATGTTGCAAATCATAAACAATAAAAATAAAAAATTGCTTTTGTAGCCTCATGCAAGAGTAAATAGAAGGTTCTGGGTGACAGGGGGTTATTACACCTTATAAGTAAAGTCAAGCTGTGTCCAGGAAAACAGAAATAAGTGCATAAGGCAAAGCTAATGAGACGACTTTAAGGTTTAAAAGGCATTGTTTGTGTGACACTATTCATGGGTGTGAAGCTGCACACCTTGGTCAAGGTCAGCCACCTTAGTACTGTGCCAAGTATTGTGGCTTGTACAATATTTATATCTGTACAATATCTATACAAATATTTATCGCTAGTGTCCTAAAAATGACTGGCATCCATTCTTGGAATAAGCTTCATTCTCACTTGCAAAGTGGTGAGGAAATTGAATGGACGGATGGATCCTGAATGCAATGACACATTGCCTTCAGCCTGCCCTATTCACACCGTTGTTTATAATGCCATGAAACCACATCTTCAGCACAAGGAGTCATATTACCTTTCATTTGCTACTACATAATGTGGTTCATTTTAAATAACTTAATCTACCTTTGCCAGGAAAACAAATGTTACACTGCTGTTTAAATGCAGCATCTGTGCTTCATGTGGCTATATCATGTTACAAATTCTCCTCAATAGTACCCACACGTTATGAACCAGCTTCAGAGAAGCATTTAATAAAACTGCGGACACAATTAATTAATAAAGACAGGGGCATCACATCTTCTACTTTTTTTTTGTTTAATGATTGGAATAAAAGCTCCCGATTCACATCCAGTTACCATTCAGTGCTCTGCAACAGACCAAACCCATGGGAGTTCTGGCCTAATTAGATAACAGGATCAGCTACCGTGACACAGAGAGACGCCAATAGACTCAAAGTGTTTGTTTCATTCTGCCTTCCCCGTCAAATCAGCTGAGTGAATCCGAATATGATTTCGCTGACGTCTCTGAATTTTACATCAATACTGCGCTTCTAGAGTGATCTCACAAAAAAGTCCACATGACACCTTGATTTTCAGTAATGACCAATCAGCATTACAGCTGTCAGCTCATTCCAGGCTCGCCAACAGAATTTGTGAGAATTTGTAACATGATATAGCCACATGAAGCACAGATGCTGCATTTAACACTTAAAGAATTCTCAAATGTATTAGCATTTCGGTGTTAATTATGTCTACTTAAAGGTCCCCCATCTGACTGTAAAACTGTATATATGTTGTGTTACGTGTTTTCTTGGCTAATCCTTTGAGAGTTAGCATACTTCGCTATCCACTCTCTCAGTAAATACATGGATGGACACTGGTAGACATATCCTTTGTCATGTCCCTGCAACAAAAAATGATAAAACAATTTCATCACAGGGTGTATAAATCCAGCCAATGAAATCGCTGTGTACTGTTGAGCCCTCATACAGGCCACGCCCTTATTGTAGGTGATTGGTGTCTGCATCCTTACTATGCACAGAGCTAATTCAGAAGAATTACTTTACACTGTAGCAACTGTTGTTCAGTGGAAGATTAATAATTCTGAGACAGCTAATTGATAAATTTGATTATCAATGATTCATTGCTTGTTACATCTGATTGCACATTAAATTGAAATGCAATTAGCTGGTTTTATTGATAATTAGTGCTAACGATGCCAAACTAGCTTTGTAATTTAACATATAAGCCTTTATTATAATAAATGAAAACTATTGTGTAAGAATCAGCAGATTCATACATCAATGCTTTATTTTATAAACTACATAAAGTTAAAAAAAAAGAAGAAGAAAGAAATATAAGCAAATGATTTGCATTTTTATACCTATTTTTATAGAAAAACTTTGAAGCTCTCCAGTCATGGGGTGAAGAAAACATTACGCTCCACCTCCAGGCCAAAAGTCATGGTTACAGTCAGTACTACAGTCTGACTCAGCTTTGGGCTACAAGACTGTATTATCCATCCCTTCATCCACCCATCATCCAACTGGCTATCCTGATCAGGGTCACATGGACGCCTGGAGCCTATCCAGACAGCACAGGACACAATGCCGGAGTATAGCTTGGATGGGATACCAGGCCATCAAATACAAGACTGAATCATTTTGTTGGCCTATATTCAAGGTAAGTATCATAGACAGATGGGTAATTCAGGTCCAGAGAGTAAAAGTCCAGACCGGGATTTTGTTTCAACCAACCACTCAACTGTTTGGTTGAAATAAAATCCCGGTCGAGACTTTTACTCTCTGGACCTGAATTACCCAACTCTGGCATCATACAGGTATTAATGTTTTATACATTTAATGAAAGTGTAAGGTTCTTAGAAAGAAATACCTTGCTATGATTAGATATGTTTTTATTATTTAATGCATACTACTCAATAGTAAAAACGTGATATATCACAAAAAAATGTGATTGATTGACCTGGTGCAGTCAAACACATTTAATATGACGCTTGCTTAGATTGCAACATGATTTTAAGATACTTTTGATTTAGCTCATCTTGACATTTACTTTAACAATAAATTATTGAAAACAGTTTCACAGCCAGGCAACTCTGCTATTTAGACCATGACATTTTAAGAAATTCATAGAAAATACCACTGTCTGTTATAAACTGCCAGTCTTCAAATCCTTCAATTAAAGTAGACTAAGGGCGTCTGTTTCCTTCACAAAAAAGGCCTGATAATAACCTTTTTTGGCATTTACATAGTAGGTATTCCACAGAGACAGTTACCAGGGTGCATGTTATACAAAGTCTTGGTTCCTAATTGGGACGGATTTTAACTGCCATGCTTTTATGCATGAGAGAACTTTTTGGACTCTTTGTCAGGTCAATGACAACATCTAAGAATACTTGCAAATATGTTTTTAAAATCAAACTACACTGTGGTTTCCCTTTATACGGGGGCCCTGAACAATCATAAAAACTGTTTCTGATGTCTGCAAAAGTCATAACCTTTCTAAACCAATCCCTAGCTTCAGTTGGCTAAAGCTAAATTTGGCACTTAGGGTGACACAACAGGTTGTTATAAAGTATGAAATGTACGGTAACGCTTTACATTAAGTGCACCTTCATAATGCATTCATTATGTATTCATAGAACATTCAGTGCACCTTCATAATGCATTCATTATGTATTCATAGAACATTCAGTGCACCTTCATAATGCATTCATAATGCATTCATAGAACATTCATAAGCAGCATGCAAGTACACCTTAACATCCTAACATCCCTTAACAGCTTTAATATACATTATAAACAAACATTACATGATTATACAATTATAATGTTTATTATTATATAATGTTTGTTATTAATGTATATTACAGCTGTTAAGAGATGCTAGGATGTTGAGGTATACATACATGATGTTTATGAATGTTCTATGAATACTTAATGAATAAATTATAAAGGTGCACTGAACGTTATATGAATGCAATATAAAAACATTATGAAGGTGTAGTTAATGTAAAGAGTTACCAAATATACTATTAAACTGAACTAGACAGTAGATTCCCGTGATAAGGACGGGCTGAACTAAGTTAAGGTGACAGAACACCCATGTTGCAATATATGAAATATGCTATTAAAATGAGCTAAACTTCCCATTATACAGTCGTCCTGAACTATCATAGAAACAGGTCTTGATGTTTGAAAAAGCCTTAATCTTCGTAACTGTAATCCCAGCTTCAGCTGGCTAAACCTAAATTTGTGACATACTGTAGGGTGACACAACAGATTAGGTTGAGCTAAAGTGTGGTTTCCCCTTATGAGGCCCTAAGCAATCATAAAAACGGAAAACCACAGGTTAACTCGATTTAATGGCATATTTCATACTTTCCAACATCCAGTAGTGTCACCCTAACTCTCCAAATTTGGGTTAGCCAACTAACCCTAGGGACAGGGATAGAAAGGTTGTTTTTTTTCTGACCTCAAGAGATGAATGAGACTCCGCAGTCTCCTAGCTTCAGTTGGGTTACCCTAATTCGGGGACTCAGGGTGACAGAACAGGCCCTTGGAAAGTATGAAATATGCTATTAATTAGATATGGCATTATATAATATGGTATAACATAATGTCAATGCAGCCCAGCATTGGAGAAGCATATTTAGGTAATTATTAGAATTACTGCAGTGTCATGAAAATGAAAATAGAAAATACTGCTGAAGGAAATGTAAGTATTTCTATACATATAACTGAGTTTTTAAGATCACCATAAAGTAAAAACATACTTACAAAACTTTAACACTGTTACAATGCACCCATCATGACCAATTCAGTTCTGTGTTTTACACCATTCCCAATATTCAAAGCTCTGTTTCATTTTAACTGGAAAATGAACTGCACAACGATTAGCTTAATATGTCCTGGCAATACAGTCATATTCGATAAAGCGATTTTGCGGAAGCTATTTCAGCTAGCGTCACTTGTGATAAATGTCACTTAATTTGCTGCCGTCCATGAAATTACACACCTGACCTCATCTCTTACCACTTGAGAGAGATACTTTCTGAGGGAAAAGTGAAATGAAATGAAAGACTTTTGACGCATCACTTTTAGCTTGATAATTAAGTAACTGGATTTTTTTTAAATTGACCACGTGACCTGTTTCACCTTAA